TAAATAATAAAAAGAAAAATTTATCTCACATATTATTTTCCCTTCTAAGAGCAAAAGAAAAGAACAACATTAAACCAAAACATAATGCTAAAATGCAAAGGATTTAAGAATTTAAAAACTACCATCTTGATTTTTCTCTATAACATGACTTATGCATCAAAGTAACCCAACTAAGATGAAGCATTCTGCAAAGAAAGACAAAGTAGACTCTAAAATGCTATACTGTCAATTCTATACAGAAATAGTCTCTTATGTAGAAGCAATAAACTGCAAACATCTTGTAAATTGTTCTTAAATTGTTGATTTTCAATTTATGTGGAATGGGATATTTTGAATACAAGAAAGTAGAATGAAAAGCACAAATAATTTCAATTTTGTCATTAAAAATATTCTGTTTGCCCAAATCCAGTTTTAGAATCTTGTGACTATTCAGCAGAAAGTTAAATTTAAGTCCTCAGACACAGTGTTTAAATACACATTCTAGGTTATTAAAGAAAGGGTCTGATGCCTTTGTGGAGAGTTATCAACAGAAGTAACAAAGATCTAGATACAATATATGCTTCATAACTAAAATGAAGAAAAATAAACAGGATAGAAAAAGGATAACTTTTTGATAAGTAAGGCAACTAATAGCTTTTCTCATCTTAGACTTTTTAAAATTACCACTTCACATCAACAATTACAAAAAATAAGTATCTAAAGCATTTCAAGTAAACAAATTCATTTCTAGTAAAAGAAAAAAGAGGAAAATCTATTAAAACATTCCAATACACACTACACTACACTACACTACACCCTCCGGTGGGCAAGCATCCATGGAAAAATATAAAAAGATTTAGGTGGATTTTCCACTCAGTTAAATCAGTATTATTACTAATGAAATGATGACTCTAAAAACCTCATAAAAGTTCACACTATTTTAATCACTTGTTTTAGTATCTGAGATAGATGCAGCAAAAAAAAATTTTTTTGATATTGTGGTCGAATAACAGAAAAAATAAAAGCATGATCTGCTTCATCTTCCTTTAAAAGAAAAGTGCTATCAGGCTCTTATTTGTTTAACTTACAAAGAAAAAACGGTAAACTGTATAAATCTCATACAAAGATATATAATTAAAAGATAAAAGTATTCATATGAGCTGCAAAAGGCAGGCACTAATTATTTAAAGCAACATTCAAAAATTATGGTTCCTTAGTGAGAACCACGGCAGAAAAGTAGTATGTTCATTAAGTTTTTCAGGAAAACAACTCACATTATCACCTGGTAATATTTTGTATAACTGGTCTCATGAGGCTGTGCGGTTACTAAACAGAAATATAAACACACTTAGAAAAAAATTAAGAGACTACCTTTAAGAGCCCTTTTTCTATATGGCTAATGTTTCAGCACTTAAATGACATAATAGAAGCAAAGACTAGATTAAAAGTATTTTACAAGGTCCAAATATCACTTAGAATTTCTCTTGTTAACTTCTCAAAATCCTTATTTAATGTTAGTAAAATTTACAACAGAATACAAAACATCCTTAATACAAATACCTAGAAATGTCATATAAATATGTACATTTCCCAAAAATGCATCGAAGAGTTCTTGAATATATATTCTCCAGGAAAAACCAGTACAACTAAGCTTATTTGAGGTCTTGAACTTCTTACAAATAGGCTATGAAACTAGAAAATAAAGGTCAACAGTGACATCTAGTGGACATTTCTAATATACAGCACTTCTATCAAATCAAAACATTTTCTTGCTAGTGTTTCACTTATCTTAACTGCCTGAGGAACTATATGACAAACCTTGAGTTATAAATCCAAAGAAGCCAACTCTACTTACAAAAACCTTATCAATATGAGTGATCCGATCATTTGATAATGTGAAACTTTTAATAAAGTAGAATTAAATATGTCAAGTCATCAGAGAACTAAACACTGATTAAATGTATCAAATATGTGACTAAAAGAAGGGTTATCAAATGGTCCAATAATAAGAGGCCAGGTGTGATGGCTCAAACCTATAATCTCAGCACTTTGAGAGGCCAAGGTGGGTGGATAACTTGAGGTCAGGAGTTCAAGACCAGCCTGGCCAACATGGCAAAACCCCGTCTCTACTAAAAATACAAAGGAGACTGAGGCAGCAGAATCACTTGAATATGGGAGGCAGAGGCTGCAGTGAGCTGAGATCAGGCCATTGCACTGCAGCCTGGGTAACAGAGCAAGATTCCATCAAAAAAAGAAGAAAAAAGACTATGATTTTAAAAAGTTTTAATATTCTGAATTTTAAAAGCACTCAGTGAATAGAAGAACTGAAGAAAACTAAGAGCTGATTTATTTATGAATCTATTCAAGCATGGGAAGTACAGAGCAACCAGCATGGCCTGTCACACAAAGGAAGAAATGTTTTTAAATTAAAACTATCTAATTTACAACATGGAAATTTTTCAACATTTCAGAAGCTGAAATTGGTTTTTCAGAAAAGTTTTTTTTTAAAGTAAACTAAGGACCAGCCAGGGTGGCTCATGCCTGTTATCCCAGCACTTTGGGAGGCCAAGACAGGCAGATCACTTGAGGCCAGAGTTCGAGACCAGCCTGGCCAACACAGTGAAACTCTGTCACTACTAAAAATCGAAAAAATTAGCTGGTCATGGTGGCGCATTCCTGTAATCCCAGCTACTCAGGAGGCTGAGGCATGAGAATTGCTTGAACCTGGGAATCAGAGATTGCAGTGAGTCGAGATCACACCACGTTACTCCTGCCTGTGCAAGACAGTGAGACTCCATCTCAAAAAAGTCATCTCAAAGTAACAAATTTGAGTTCAGATGTCAGCAAGATGACACCTCCATGTTCACTGCAGCATTATTCACAATAGCTAAGATACAGAATCAACCTAAATATTCATTAATGAATAAATGAATGAATGGGTAAGTAAACTGGGGGGTATATATACCCAATGGAATATTATACAGCCTTAAAAAGAAGGAAATCCTGTCATTTGCAGCAATGTGGATAGAACTGGAGAACACTAGTATGTTAAATGAAACAAACCAGGTACAAAAAGACAAATATAACACGATCTTATTCACATATGGAATCTTAAAAAGCTGAACTCAGAAGCAGGAGGAGAATGATAGTTTCTAGGTGCTACAGTGGAGGGAGGAATTGGGGAGACATTGGTCAAAGGGTACACAATTTTGGTTAAATAGGAAGAATAAACTCAAGAGATCCAGTATGTAACACAGTGACTACATTAATAACAATGTGTTATATTCTTGAAGATTGCTAATAGAGTGGATTTTGATAGTTCTCACCACAAAAAAGTGGTATGTGAAGTCATGCATATGTTAATTAGCTTGATTTAGCCATTCGACAAAATATACATATTTCAAAACATCGTACTGTACATGATGCATACAATTTTTATTTAATATATATATTTTTTTTAAAATAAATATCTCAAAGGACAAAACGACAACAAGAATACCTTGGACAACATCCTCACCTGTTCTTTTTTTGTCAGTACATATCCAAATATTATAAGAGAACACTTATTTAATAGGAAAACAGTGGTTTGCATTAAGTATTTTATTACTAACTTAGATAAGAAATATAAATTTAGAGACACAGTTTTTTTTTTTTGAGACGGAGTCTCATACTATGGCCCTGGCTGGCAAGATCTTGGCTCACTGCAACCACTGCCTCCTGGGTTCAAGTGATTCTCTTGTCTCAGCCTCCCAGCTAGCTGGTATTACAGGCACCTGCCACCATGCCCAGCTAATTTTTAAATTTTTTTTTTAGTAGGGACACGGTTTCACTATGTTGTCCAGGGTGGTCTCAAACCCCTGACCTCGTGATCCCCCGCCAAGGCCTCCCAAAGTGCTTGGATTATAGGCATGAGCCACCGTGCCCAGCAGAGACCCAGTCCTAATATAAACACTAAATCGAATAAGAGCCAAGACCACAAATTAACTGGAGGCCTTTCGAGATCACAAGTGCATCCCAAATCTCTCAGAACCACTAGATTTTAATGATTATTTGGGCTTAATGATTTTCTGACCAAAAACTGTCAACAGAGCTTCACAATTATGTAGTTCAAAGTCATTGAAAACATCTCTGAAATACTTCAGAACTAAAGCACTGTGTTAATAACGTCATGCAGTATAAATACATTGTGGTATATTCAAACAATGAAATACAACTCAGAAGTTAAAAATGAATGAAGTACTGACACATGCAACATCAGTGAATCTCAAAAAACCTAGGGTGAGTGAAAGAAGTCTTACATAAAAGTTATATCTTGTGTGACTCCATTCATATGACATTATAAAACAGGCAATATGGATCTATGATTTTTAAAAAATCAATAAATAAAATCAGTATAATTATTATTTCTGAGGGTCAGATAGAGATGAAGACTGACTAGGAACAGGTATGACAGAATTCTCTGGAGTGGTGAAAATGTTCTATATTTTAACAGGAGATGGGATTATATAAATGTATGTGTTTCTCAAAATGCACCAAATAATATACTGACAATTATGCAAAATTGTTCATAAATTTTACCTTAAAAAATAAACATTAAGCAAATGTTGATAACTGTACCAATATATCATGCTGGTATTTGGAGTGAAATGGACAAATACCAGCAAATTATTTTTAAATGCACAAAAAAATTAGATGAACAGATTGTAATAAAGCAAATACAGCAAAACATTAACAAGTGAAGAATCTAGGAGGTGAGTATATTGGGGTTTCACTGTACAATTCTTTGAGATTTTCTGTATGTCTAATAATTTCTATAATAAAATATTGTGGAAAAAATAAAGAGAACAATCGAAATTCAAAAGAAAATAAATCATAAACTCTAACATGTTTTCTCCAATATTAACAACTTTCCTTTTATATATATTAATATTTTAACCTGTCTAATGTAATGTCAACTATGACCATCTTCTAATGAGTAAAAGTTAAAGGATGACATATTTTTAAAAATTTGAAAGACATACCCGAATTTCTTGAAGGTTGTGAAAATTATTTCCTACTCTGACTGAGATCTTGCTTGGAGTATAGCTTTCGTCAGATTTGTAGTCTGCATAAATACATAATGTCTTCACTGTTGTTTTTCTTCTAAAAGCAATGAAGTAAAAATAACATGTACTTCATCATAAAAAATGATTTCCAATGCATCTTATCTTCTGATTTTAAAAATCATAGTTTGCTAAAGGGAGTATTTGAATCAACATTTTCAGGTCTTTTTATTTCAAAAATAAAAATGAAAAACAAAAGCACAGGTCCAAAAACATTTTCATTATATAGACATCTCCTACCTAGAACATGGTCAAGAACCAGATGTAAGCAAAGAATAATCTGTTAAGCCAAATTAGGTACTTTATCATGCAAATAAGCATTAAGGATTACCATCCTCTTCATTTGTATTTTAGACAAAGAAATTATTCTCATAAGTTTGGTTTCCTTTACTAGGTACTTACTTCATTTCCTATATTAATACTTGAAAATAACTAGCTAAGTGAGAAACTGAGTCCAGAAAAGACAAAAACTATCTTTTTTTAAAAAACAGGAAAAATAACCTAGTTTTAATGTAAGAAATAAAATTCTGCTATTGATTTTTTTTTCTTTCTTTCGCTATTGATTTTAAAATATACATATCCTAGGGAAAGAAGAAATACATAAGAGCAAGTTAACCTCAGGAAAGAATGCAAGTGGCCAAAAAAAAAAAAAAAAAACATGAAAATATGTTCAATGTCTAATAATCAAAGGAGAAATTAAAACACAAAGTTATTAGTTTTATCATAATGCAAAATATTTAAATGACTGACAAACTCAAATTTGATTAGAAATGTCGCCAGTTAGCAGAAACACAACCTTTGACCTACTTATTCAACTTCTAAGAACACATTAAAATATGGTAACACAATTACTCAAAAATTGATGTCTTGGCCTTGGAGAAAAAAATAGATGCCGAAAAATCTTGTCCTGTGATTAAATCGTTAAAACATTAAAAACAGCCTAAATATCCATGGCAGTAGGGAACTGATTAAATAAATGATAATATATCCATTCAACGAACTGCTATACAACTATTCAAAATAATCATGTACCTAATATAGTTACAGTAGGAAAAAAGATTACAAAACAATATATACAGAAGAATTACATTTGAGGGAAAACAATACATTTTTAAAGGCATGTAAATCTATATTTGTATATGGAAGAAGACCTTGGTGGAATGATCAAAAAACAGTAAAATTGACTGTTTTCATGGGATGGGACTATAGGCGATCTTTATTTTCTTCTTTATGATTTTTGTATTTTCTGAACAGTTTTTCAGAATGAGAATATGCTATTTGGCTGGGGGGAGACCTAGATGATTTTAAAAACTGACCCAAAAACCATTAAGAAATCTATTTACATGTGCTTTAAAAGTTAAGTTCTAGTATAAACTGGCACTAACTTAGTAACAATGAGCTCCTTGAACAGAAGTAGTCTGTGTCAAAAGTCAGCCTATAAAAACAGCAGGGGATCTGTTGCTCTTAGTGTGGAGACCAAACTTCTGTAGCCTCAGCTATTCATTAGAAAGGAATAGGGAAAGTTAAGGACTTTTCCTCAGATCAAGAGGTAAAACATTAAATACCCAGGAACTGCTGACAACATAAATACCATTACCAGGTTTTTAAAAGAGGCCAAAGGTATCAAACTGACATCTTTCTCTTTCTACTGAGCCAGGAAGGAGACAGGAAAGGAAGCAAAGAAAGACAGGAAATTTTTGAAGACCTTTTTCCTTGAGGAGCCATAAGCAGGAAGCAAATGATCTTTCTTGGAGAGATCAAAGATCACAAAGATGACTCTTAATAACTTTTTTTAAGGAAGAAAAGAAAGGCAGATCTAAAGGATCAAGTTTTTTTTTTGCTCACAATAATTATATTTCTAAATTGTGAAATTCGTGCACACTTACTCGCTGCCTTCAAATCGACGAGGGCAAGGTTAGAAAGGCAAAGAATACTAAATACACTAATGCTAATAAAAACAGTAACAGCAAAGAGCAAGTGAATATTTTGTGTCTGGACTAGAAGTAATGCTCTATATATATTATCTCATTTACTTCTCAATGTTGTGAAATTAGGAACTATGATTATCTCCATTTTTCTGATTAAAAAAAAACTATAACACTCAGGTTAATAACTGGCTTAGGGTCAAAAAGGTAGTAGGAGGGCACAGTTGGAATTGAAAAATGTGTCTGTCTACCTCACATGGTCTTAACCAAAACTTCCTTATAATTAACTGTGCTTAGCTCATCGATATGAGTTTACAGTAATAGGTAGGTGTTTGTAGTTCTTTAAATTTTATCTAAATCATGAGTTACTATCATAAGATTCATGTAGCCACAGAAATCGTATGTATAATTTTTTATATACATAGTTTCATTAAATTTGCATAGGAAACTGTGACCTGACCCACAGTTTAAAATGATTAAAAGGTAGAGTAAAAATTTTTAAAACCATTTATCAATTTTATCTCATGATGAATTTAAAAATAATATTTCATATTATTTTTTAGCAATGTATGTGAAAAGATTAAATATACAGACTACTACATATAGTGGCAGTAGCTCAAATTGTTCAAATCATCATTATCATAATAATCGCTACATAGTGAACAGTCACTAAATGCCAGGCATCATGCTATATTTGTAGCATAAAATATTGGCAAGAGAGAAGAAGGAAGACTTAAGTGTTACGTGTTACTTATGTCATCAGAAATAAGTAACACTCTCTATCCTTTCAACCACTACCACCTTTCTCCTGAGAAGGAGCTTCTGGCAGGAACCAAACTTGCTTTGTTCCTTCAGGCCACCAATTTAATAGAGGCACATGCTACCTGGTCTAATGGTATAACTGGACAGGTAAGGCAGTTTAATTCTAGGGTTCAATATCAGGAAACACACTTGACTGAAGATATAATGCAGTTACACTTCTCAAACATCAGTTATGTCCATTTTACAAAGTTGTTATTTTGGCCTCCTCCTGGTACCACAGGTACTGAGCATGTACTAAATAATTTCTCATCTGGTTTGGAACCCATCAAATTCCAATGGAAGACATTAGTGAAAAATATTCTTAGTTGCCTAACCTAAAATCCCTTTATCCGCTCTTTCTTCCTAACATCTGGCTAAAAGATCCAACTTCCCTTAAAATTAGGTAGGACCATATGACTAAGTTAGGGCCAGTAAGATTTAAACAACATGATGGCGTGTAATAAAGGTTTCTTTAAAAGAAAAACATGCCCCTTTTGCCTTTCTCATCTACTCCTTCCTGCTACCTGGGATATGGACACGATGGATAGAATTCCACTAGGCATCTTGCACCATAAGACAACCTTGAGGATACAATCCACAAGCTAAGAATGGAGGAATGTAAAAAGAGAAGGAAACTGGGTCCACAAACACACTGTGGGGCTGCCACAGCACTCCTTGGCTGCCAGGCTCCTCTTACATGAAGAGGGAGAAGAAATACATTTCTACTTTGTAGAAAACAGCATTATCAAAAGCTCTGTTACTAAAAGTTCTGATTTCTAACTAATACAGCATTACTGTGTCTTACAGATGAAGAAACTGAGGTTCACATCAGGTTAAATATGTAGTTCTTGTTTACATATCTAGTAAAGCATAGAGTCAGCACTTAATCTATGCCTACAGGACTACATTATATAGGAGTAACTAATAAACACTAAGGTATAAAACTTAAATGTATGTGACAGATGATAGCTTTATATTTAAAGCTAAATGTGAAGAACAAAATAGTTTTAAAAATGTGTTTTTTAATCATCCTTCTTAACATGCTATATACATTATTACCAGGAGGCTGAGACATAAAATAAACAGAGTCCACATACTTGTTTAAATCAGAAGCAAATATTTATAAATAACTATATTCTGCCATATATGTTCCTGGTATAAAAGTAAAAAATGTCCTCTGTATCAGAATTAACAGGATGCTAAAATGAAAGTTTTCACTGAAGACTACAACAACAAAGACCATGTTTTGAAAGGATATATGAGACCTTAATGCATAATTAGTCTTAGTAATGAGGCTAATCTTGCCCAAGAGAAATGAACTTAAAGAGAGGTCTGGGGACCTATGAAGGACCTCAAGACACCTTCAGAGGATCAGCAAGGTCAGAACTATTTTCTTAATATTACTCAGATGTAATTTGCCTTTTTCAGAAGCATTCTCAATATGTAGTCGAGTTTTCCAGAGGCTGACATGAGATGTTGTAAAAGATTTAATGAAGAAGCAGAAACAAGACTCCAGCTATTTTAACTCAGACACCAAAGAAGTTCACAAAACAATGTTAACAATGACACTCTTCTCACTATTTTTTTTTTAATTTGGGAAGAAACAGTTATTTTTCATAAAATTGCTATCTATGTTGTTAACACATAATAGGTTAATTATTGTTTACTTTTAGTGAATAATTTAAAGTTCCTCGTCTATAATTTCTAAAATAGTAAAATACATATATATATGTATGTGTGTGTATATATATATAAAGATTTCTGGAGTCCTCAATAAGAATTTAAAGTGTACTGAGACTAAAAAGTTTGAGAACTAAGGCCCTAAAGCAGGGCTTCGTAAGCTACAGCTTGCAGGCCAAATATGGACTGTCACCTATTTTTGTAAATAAAATTTTATTGAAACAAAGGGACATTCTTGTCATAAACACATTGTCTATGGGAGCTTCAACACTACAATGGCAAAGTTGAGTAACTGTAGCAGGACATATAAAGGTGTCTTACAGCTTAACAACAAAAAGACAACCCAATGTAAAAAGAGGGAAGGGACTTAGGCAGTCATTTCTCTAAAGAAGATATGCAGAAAGCACATGAAAAAATGCTTGGTATCACAAATCATTAGAGAAATGCAAATCAAAACTAAAATGAGATAGACTCATTAGGATGACTATTATCAAATGTTGGCATGGATGTGGAGAAACTGGAACTTTTGTGCATTACCAGTGGGAAGGTAAAATGGTATAGCTGCCATGGAAAACAGTGTGGAGGTGCCTCAAAAAATTAAACATAGAATTACCATTTGATCAAGAAATTCCAC